AGAAACACATAAATACATTGCATTATATAATAAATCGTTCCGCGAGAGGTAAGCATATAAAACATAATTATAATAAAAATTCTTTTTTAATTTTAAAGTCAATCAGTTGAAATGTACAGATGTCCTATTTTGATGGATTTCCTTAAAAACATTGTACCAGTAGGGGAAGTAGACCAAAAATATTTTTCTTTTCTTTTTTATCCAATTTAAGTCAATTATTTGGAGTAATTACACATTTTCCCAGTTTAAAGGGATTTTTTTATATATATATGCGGGTTTATTTAGGTCTCAATAGGTTAATTGTATGTTTATAGGGTTCATAAAAGAAATAAATTGTTAGGGAATGTAAAGGGGATTGTTAAAAATTCTGAAATAAGACATCGAATCAGTACAGAAAATTGAGAGGAAAATGGCGTCTTACTTTCATCGTTAAATTTAGATCACGTGTTAAAATTTATTTAATACAATAGAGGAGGTGAATCATCTGAAAGAACAAGATATTTCAAAACTTTTTCACGTTTAACAATAAATACTATAAAATGAAAGATGGGTTACCCATGGGCTCCCCCATATCGGGTATTATGGCGGATATTTTTGTTAATCACTTTGAAACCACACTTTTTTCGGATAAGTTTAAAACGTTCACAAAAGATATTTCTTTCTATGCCAGATATGTCGACGATATTTTTATAATTTACAAAGGTAACCCCGCCAAATTAATAGCCCTTCACAATATCTTCAATAATATTAATAACTTAAAATTCACTATAGAAACTGAAAATTCACAAGGATGTCTTAGTTTCCTAGATGTCCGGATTCAAAGAGATAATAAAAACAATAAAATGATATTTGATATATACTCAAAACCAACTACCACTGATATACTCATTCCAAAAAACTCTTATTGTAGCAAACAACATAAATACGCTAGCTTTAGGTTTCTATTTAATAGGTTATACAATATACCACTTAACGATAATAATTTGAAAAAAGAAATCATAAGAATAGTTTCATTAGCTAAAAACAATTTATACTCTATAAAAGACCTACAAACAATATACAATAAAGGGCACCTGTCACAGATAAAAAAGAAGATTTACCCACATTACACCCAAGTTTAGAAAATAAGTTAACTAGGAATCTGAATAAGTTCAACATATGCCCCGCCTTTATCTCCAATAATTGTAAGCCAGTTCTTCAACTTATGAACAATAAATCAAAGATAAATCAAAACGAACAGAGTGGTGTCTATAAAATAGAATGCACGGGATGTGATGGGATATATGTGGGACAAACAGGCCGTAATATTAAGATACGCTATAAGGAACATATGACCAAAAAAACTTCCGCAGTTTACAAGCACGTCAAACAATAATACATTTCTGCATTCTACATCAGGCCCTCAGTCCAACCTCAATCACGCAATGAACCACCTGTTGTGACTTAAATTTTGGATCTGTTTAATTGATTACGAAGATCACAGATTTTATTTTTTTTCCCAATAACGTAAGTTCGTACATAATAAATTCTACCCCTTCTTCTTTTAATCGATGAAATATCTTGTTCTTTCAGATGATTCACCTCCTCTATTGTATTAAATAAATTTTAACACGTGATCTAAATTTAACGATGAAAGTAAGACGCCATTTTCCTCTCAATTTTCTGTACTGATTCGATGTCTTATTTCAGAATTTTTAACAATCCCCTTTACATTCCCTAACAATTTATTTCTTTTATGAACCCTATAAACATACAATTAACCTATTGAGACCTAAATAAACCCGCATATATATATAAAAAAATCCCTTTAAACCGTAATTACTCCAAATAATTGACTTAAATTGGATAAAGAAAAATATTTTTGGTCTACTTCCCCTACTGGTACAATGTTTTTAAGGAAATCCATCAAAATAGAACATCTGTACATTTCAACTGATTGACGTCGTGCCTGAAGAAGATTGTTAAATCGAAACATGTCGCACTGAAACAAATCNTATTTCTTAAACACATCATTTTGTTGTTTCTATTTCACCTTACAGCCATCAATTCAATCCGCTTAAATTCAATTAAATAAGTAAGTTTTATATATTTCTTAAACACGCATCTTTTTTTGTTTGTATTTCCGTTCAACTGCTAGGCTTTTAATATTAAATTGAAAAGGTTTCGGTGGTTCAGTGGTTTATTGTCTTTAAAGTAATTATATTTCACCTTGCAGCTATCGGTTCAATTCGCGTAAAATCAAATTAAATAAGTCTGTATTATATAGTTCGTTAATTTACATCACCATTGAGCCGCCGAAACCTTTTCCTTCTTTTATTTAAATGTATTTTTTTTTCACGTACATCATTTTTGTTAATGAAAATGCATTAAAACAATTTTATAATTTGTATTATTTTTTTACTTTCTTAATATTAATTATATATATATATAGCATTTCATTTAGGTCAATTATTCCATTGCTCAGCATTATTGCAGCCGCACCGCGCCGATTGTAACTTGACACTTTCGCCGGCGAGGTGTATTGCACTTTACTTGGTGATGCGCCGCGCCGATTGTCGTAAGTTGACACTTCCGCCCCGGCGAGGAAAGCATTGTATCGCGTAACTCATAATCAGTTTTACTTTAGAAACCGAACGTGTCAAACGTAAACCGCGCGCAATGTCTCGTAGT